TGTACTTGATATTTATATTTCATAAAGTTTTTCTCAAACAAAATCCCCCAAATCTGTAATTTCTTTTATCATACTTAAGAAGAAGGAAAAAAACCCACAATCCAAATAGCATGATTATTTGATTTCTGAGATTATAGCTGACATGAAATTCCTTGCACCTTGTATTGTATTCCAATACTCCCAACATTCTGTTACTGATAAAAGTAAAAACATTTCCAAGTCAAAATTGACATTTCATAACTGCATGGAAATGCTCATATGGTTCTTTTGGCAGTGAGACAGAAGCGCCAAAGTTAAATTAAAATTATCTGAATGTAGTTAATACAATTATTGTCCGTGTATTTAATGATTTCCTCTTCTTTTATATAAGAACAACTATTTAGAAGTAGTTCTTGAAAAGTCTCAAGAATTGCAACCATGCTTTGGGGAGATTACAAATATGGTTTTGGGCTTTTGCACCTTTACACAACTAACAATGTTGGGATTCCAAAAAATTTACTACCTGTTCTGTGGGCGTGGCATGGTTTGGTGGATGTGGCTTGGTGGGCGTGGCATGGCTTTGGTGGACATGGCTTGGTGGGCGTGGTAAGGAAAGGATATGGAAAATCTCCATTCCCACCCCACTCCAGGGGAAGGATCCTGTAAAATCTCCATTCCCTCACCACTCCAGGGGAAGGGTCCTTCAAACCCCGCATTTCCTCCCAATCAGCTGGGACTCGGGAGGCAGAGAATAGAAGGGTGGGGCCAGTCAGAGGTGGTATTTACCGGTTCTCCGAACTACTCAAAATTTCCGCTAGCGGTTCTCCAGAACTGATCAGAACCTGCTGAATACCACCCTCTGAACTAACAGAAAAAGTCTACATATGCTATCCCAGAAGTGATACCACTTCATTCATAAGGACTGCCCAAAAACAGAAGTTTCAGGCACCAAAAACCACATATTTGCATGCTATGAAATGGGGGGATGACTTCCTTGGCATCCAAAGAAAATGTCAAAAGAAATACAGAATTCCTTAAAATCTATCAGCATAACTATTGACTTACAGAACTTCCATTTTGGCCAGACCCCAGAAAGCTCCATCCGTCAACTTGCTTATATTGTTGCGCTGCAGCTTCAAAACTTCTAAACTGTCCAGTCCATAAAAAGTCAACCCTTCTATCAAACGAATACGATTCCGGTTTAATTCTCTGAAAATGACCAACACAGAAGGATATTAAGTCAAGTCTTTCTCAATAAATTTAATCTTCAAAAGCCGACAGCCAGGCATAGGTAAATGAGGAACAGAGTGGCACCCCTTTACATTAGAATATGAATATGTGAGTCATCTGAACAGAAAAAGTCATGCAAGAGAATAAAAGAAAGCTAAATTAACCACAAAAGTCAAATGGACCAAAACACTATTAATTTGATTTTAAAGAGGAAGGGGGATATATTTCCTTGCTTATTTCACATTTTTTTTAAAAATTTCCCTTGTTTTTTGTACTGGTAGTCCTTGAATTAGGACCATTTGTTCAGTGACTATTCAAAGCTGCAGTGCTCCTGCAGTTACACGTATGATTGGTTCCAACATCCTATAATCATGTGATTTATCAGAGTTTGTTGCAGAAAAATCAAATCCAGAAAGCACACACACAGATAACTGATTCAGCTGGATTCATTAACTTCTTTACATACATAATAACAGATGAATAAATGTTCAGTACCAATAGTAGATTATTTCAACGTGGTAGAAGTTACAAGCAGAACACAAGCTGGATAGAACAGTTTCATCTCAGAGTTCAGAGCAGGCAGAATAGTTTCAGTTTCGATTCTCAGCCCAGACTCAGATCTGTTTAAGCTCCCATTGGCTGACTTAGTTGCTATGCCTAGGCTTGTTATCATGTCTCTCCCAATCATGAATATTCTAACATGATTGTTGTTGCCAACTTTCTCTGCCAGCTTCCCACAGGTAAAGTCAATGAGGAAGTTGATAAGGAAGGTCACAAGTTACTTCCCTTCCCATCTTTCTTCAATCACTCACATGCACTGCGCCCGCTTTCCCCCTATGATTGCACACACCTATCAGTTCCCTCATTTCCTGGCTTCCATGTGTTCGCACACATCCTCTGGCACCTTCTCTTCTGTGCCTCCTTGCACTCATATTCACACACGTACACAACACCAGTGCCCTCCTTTTCTGAGCATCCCTGGACTTGCACAAAGGGCCGCACCCACCAGCGATCTCTTTTCCTGGCCTGAGTTTGTGCCACACATGCCAGCATTTGTGCAACATGCACTGGGCTTCCCAAGACCTACTCCTCTATGGCAATCCTACATTCCTAGCCTGGGACTCTCCCAGTTTTCCATGTAGTGACACATTTGTCTTTGGGTTATGATGACAACTAGGACTGCCTGGGGTTGTCATCGCTAAGCAATGCAGTCACATAATATTGCGCTTTACAACTGCATCACTTAGCAATGGCAATCTTGATTCCAATTGCCATTGTAACTACCTGTATTCAGGGGTGGGCTTCAAAAATTTCCGCAACGGGTTCTCTGCCCGGTTGCTGGGTGGGCATGGCCATGATGGGTGTGACCTAGTAGGCCTCCCGAACCACATTGGTGGGTGGGTGTTTTCACCTTCCCCAGGCTCTGGAGGCTTTCCTCGAGACTCTGGGAGAGCGAAAACTGCCTCCACAGGCTCCGGACACCCTTCGGAGGCCAGAAATGAGCCCATTTCCAGCCTTCCAAAATTTCCAGGAGGCTCGTTTTTCCTCCTTCTCAAGCCTCTGCATGGGCCCTGCACTTACTTCGCACCCAAAACGGCCCGCGTGGAGACTCCTGAGAAGGAAGGGGCAAGGTGGGAGGGGTGGGCAGGACCAGCCAGGGATGGAATTTGGAGCTTCTCCGAATCGGCCATAACAATAGCTATGGGCTCTCCCGAATCCGGGCAACCTGTAGCAGCCCACCCCTCCCTGTATTATCATGTGAAATCTTACACTACCTATGCTGAATCTAGCCTTTGAGTTGGGTTCCAAACTTCAAGGAAGTTGGAAACCAACGTTGATGCCAAAGGTCAATTATATGTACATAAAGCCCTATCGCAGATGCAGATCAAATGCAGCCTAACCTGTACCTTGGCCAAACAAACAACAACATGTGTGCTAACCATCAAAAGCATCCTTTGTCTACCTAAATGCCAACTCTGCATTCTCCCCTTCTTGCAGTTTGAACTCCGTATGTGAAAACGGAGTTTAAGAAAGCCCTCTCAATCTTGCTTTTCTTTCATTTTGTGCCCACAAAATCAAAATAAAACCCAGAAAGAGAAAGTCAGATTCCTTTTTTAAAAAATATATGCACACACACACACCAACTGACATAAGAAAATTTATCATATACATTCTAGTTAACAAATACTCAAATATTTTCCTTCCTTCCTTCCTTCCTTCCTTCCTTCCTTTTGGTCCTATTAAGAATGTAAAACTGAATAGTCAATCTAGGGTGGGGCCATATCCAATTTTTATTACATTCATGTCACAAAAGACTATGCTTTAATCAACATTTCATACATTCAAGCTGAAAGATTGTCTATGGCAAAGTGTCCTCAGGGAGCTAAAGCTTGGCAAGTTACAATTAAACAGCCCATTTCTACTCACAGTTGTGTTAGATGGGGCAGTTTGAATGCTTTGACGGGAAGTTGGACAATTCTGTTTTTATTCAGGCGAAGCGTCAGCAGGGATCGTGACAAGCTGTTAAAAGCCTTGGTCTCCAGGATGCTGATTCTGTTGCTCCCCAGGTAGCTGTAATGATTCATAAAAGAACATTCAAAATGTTGTGTTGGAGGTCTTGATTAGTCCCTCTTTATCTGAGCAGGTGGTGACATCAGACATGCTGTTTTCAGAAACCTAATGTCTAACAACAATCAAGCCATTTTGCACAATTTATAGGCAGGTGATGATTAAAAGATTCCTCTGATGCGGAAGCACCTCTAGTCTGCCAGAGCTTCCTTCCCTACACTCAATGCCTTTTGCTGAATTAGAATAAAAGCATTTTCTATTATTATTATTTTTTGTCCTTAGAATTCTGAAGTAGTAATTCAGATGAGAATGTTCATACAGGAATCAAAGCCAAACCAAAAGCAGAACAAATATACACTGTACATGTAATGATCATTGGAAAAGACCCTGATGTTGGGAAAGATTGAAGGCCAGAGGACGAGATGGTTAGATAATATCTTTGATGCAATGAAGATGAAGTTTTGCAAATTCCAGGAGACAGTGGCAGACACAGGGGTTTGGTGTGCTGTGGGCCATAGGGTCACTAAGAGTCAGACACAACTTAGTGACTGAACAACAACTAAGTACAATAAAGCATACTGAAACTAGGACAACTGTATTCCATTTAGATGAAACAATGTCTTGTGAAGGAATTAGTTTCAGTTACACTAGCCATCCTTAAAATGGGAATGACAGCTTCTTCATTCACAGGGATGTAAAAGAACAATTCTACTGAGATAATAAATTCATTTTCTATCTAACTAGAATCCCAAAATCTATCAAACAGATCTGAACTCAGAGTAATGGATGAAATGGGATGAGCACCAACAATGTAAAATACTACTTCAAGTGGAAAAGCCAATGGCATACTGTAAGTCACGAGTTTTATAAAAACGACACTCCTAAATTAAAAGAGTTGGGATTGTTAATTGCAATTAATCCAGTGATCTACTAATCATTTATGTCCCCAGACTCTCAAAATATTCAAATGTTTTGATTTTTATAACTGGCTTATCTGTGAGTGACAGGTTTTTATGGTATTTGAAGATTGTCTTATCTATCGATGGGTTCTACAAAAGTATATATGGGTCCCTTAAAAAAAGTATTGTAATATATATTTGCAAATAAGCCCATCAGCATATCAGCCACACCCACTTTGGGTGTGTGTGTAGTTTAAAGCAGGGGTCCATGGACTGGCACCGGGCTGCAACATGCCAGAAACTGGGTCGCGCAAACAAGTGGAACCCCATCCACGGGATGCAGGCAACATGCAAAACTACGCCCCCTCTGGTCCACAAAAAAACATGGACCTCTCCACGAATGGTCCCTGGTGTCCAAAAGATTAAGTGCTGCTGGTTTAGAACCTAAAATTTTCATCTATGTTTTTATTCTCTGAATCTCTCTCTCTTTTCATTTTCATTTATTACCACTCAGCTGCTGTATAGTTGAAAATAGCTGATATGGGGATGACATTGCTTAAAAAGGGCAAAGCTATTCTTTTTTATTGGTGTGCATTTTGGCTCCCCTATTTTGCCTCAAACCATTTTGAATGTAAAGAAAGGCAGTACAGAAACAATTCCACTGTACATTCCACACTGGTTAATGGAGTTTAATTCTGACATATTGTTGCATCAGAAATCAGAGAATCTGACTCTTCATTTTAAAAACCGTGTTCATCAAAACAGACATGTTATAGCCTCATGAACTGTTGCAGTATGAGCATTTTAAGAAAGACATTTTTATTTAAAAATCTGATGGAAGAATTTTGTCTATTAGCTATTTGTAGTAGGTATATGTGACAGAATATTGACCTTAGTGTTCCTTGTACTTTCATTCCGCACACCTCTCATGTTAGCCACTGTAACAGGCCACAAGAAAACTCAACTTTCCATATCAGCTCAATAGGAAGAGGGAGAACAGGACGGAAGAGAGCAAAAACCAAGTATTTCTGTTTCATTCCTTCCATAACATAACAGGACCAATGAAAGAACTGGAAGCTGGAGATGATGTAGATAAGGGGTGTCAAACTTGTGGCCCTCAGGCCAGATGTGTCACATGGTGGCCACGCCCACACCCGGTTTAGTGAAGGGGGGGAAAGTCACGATACATCACATGAGGACTCCATGATGATGCATGTTTGACACCCCGCCGTACATGAACAGCATTAATTTGAATTTTAACCCCTGCTATAATCTGTAACCCTTTTTTAAAAAATCAAAGTAACCTGAAAGTCAGTATTTCTTGTATAAATGAGTGCTTTTCCATAAAACATTTTAAAAAGAAAGAAAGAAAGCTTACAGATCCTTTATGGGAAGTCCCACCGGGAAACAGTCACTTCGGATTTCTGTGATGTTATTTGAGCTGAGGTCTAACGTTTCCAGGGAAGCATAGGGCTCCAGCTGGCTGGCTTCAATGCCGTGGATTCGGTTGCGATTCCTGCCACACAGAAATGGAGAAAAAGTCAGACATAAATTCACTTTTTGCCCTTCTGGGTTAAAATATAATAGTACATCCATACAGCAATATGCAGGTCTTTGTAACTGATCTGGCACTTTGCATTGGATGGAGTAAGGGAGTACAGCAGAATTTAGAAAGGAAAGATAAAACTTGTTATTAGAACAACAGAAATCAACGTAGATAACAGAATACGGAGGAATTTATCCAGAGGAAACAAAGACGACTTTGAAGCCATAAGTTTAAGACTATGATCTACTGACTATGCTATTGTTTATTTAACCATCATTTATTGAGTAAACAATGAGTGGCTGAGTCCACATTTGGTGCTTATCCATAAACTGTGTCTGATCTATTATGGCTAGATTCACACATCACATTCTGACAAAACCAATGCCCATTATGACTTAGCACCATATATGCACCTAGCCAAGAGTCCCTGCCAGTCAGTTACTGCACTATATAAGAAAGTTTAAGACAGAAATAACTATACACAGAATAAAAATCTGTGTAATATTTGTATTTTTGAGGAATGTTTAAATTGATTTAAGATTGCAGTCACAGGCTGCCTTAGCTAAAATTACAGATTAAGCACAATCAATTATGCAGTTTATTATTGTACTGTATTAGTGAATAAAAAGGTGAGACCTTGATTGGGCAACACAGAGTGGGAAGGCTAAACTACAGGTGGATATCCTTTGGGAGTACAATTAAGTCTCCCAATTTGCCAGAGAAGCCAATATTTTCTCATGAATGAAGGCAAATACATGTGTCACAGGACAATATTGCAGGATACAATCTGGGTCGGTCACTAGAACCAGAGGTTTAGTCTTCCAAGTTTTCAGACTCATGCTGGAGCCCATCCTCGGGGAACTTCTAGAGCAGAGGTGTCAAAGTTGATTTCTTTGAGGGGCGCATCAGGGTTGTGTTTTACCTTGGGGGGGCATGGGGGAGGCATGGCCAGCTCAATATCACTCGTGTCAGGGACGCCTGTGGAGTCCCGAGCGCTCTTCCAGTGAAAACAGGCTCCCAAGCTCCTTTTTTTGACTGATACAGGCTCCTGCACCCTCTATCAGCAAAAACGGAGCTCAGGAGGGCCGCAGATAGCTGCAATGGCCTCCTGCAACCCTCTGTCAGCGAAAATGAGCTCTGTTTCCAGGGAGGCCAAATGGACCAGATCTAAGCACCGCACAGACCTGATCCGGTCCCCGGGCCTTGAGTTTGACACCCTTGTTCTAGAGAGAGCACACATTTTGCTAGAGAGAAGTTCCCTGAGGATTGGCTCCAGCACGAGTCCAAAAGCTCAGAAGACTAAACCTCTGGTCCCAGTGAATGGATCCTCCAATATTTTCTTGTCATCCCCCCTTCCCCTTTTTCAAAGGGGAAATGGGAATGTATACCTGGATGCTTACTTCTTTCCTCTATGCAAAGTAGAACTTAATCCAGCATTTTCTTCTCCAAATAAATCAAAAGAGAGAGTGGAGCATTAAATAACTAATGAGACAAGGAGTTTCATCCTTGATCTTACTGAGAGGACCTATGGCTGAAGTTTCTTCAGTCAAGCTTAAGTTGCCTAAGAAACTGAATTTGGTTTGTTCCCAGAACTAAAGAACCTTTCTATGAATCGCATTAACATTGGCAATTTACACAGAGGCAGGACTTAAATCAGGAGGTAAGGTGCTGATGTTAGACTGCAGTGTGGATGACGTGAGAAATGACAGAGTAAAACAGGTGGTGCTACTTCAAACAATCCTGGCTTTCCTAGGAATACCGAAGTATGCTTTAGAAGGTAATAATAGCAATAGCAATAGCAATAGCAGTAGACTTATATACCGCTTCATAGGGCTTTCAGCCCTCTCTAAGCGGTTTACAGAGAGTCAGCATATTGCCCCCAACAATCTGGGTCCTCATTTTACCCACCTCGGAAGGATGGAAGGCTGAGTCAACCCTGAGCCGGTGAGATTTGAACCGCTGACCTGCTGATCTAGCAGTAGCCTGCAGTGCTGCATTTTAACCACTGCGCCACCTTGGCTCTTCATTCACCTTGGCTCTTCAGGATTAAGGTAAGATTATACCTTAATCCTGATGAGTAGGCTGTGCTAAATATCTGTGTGAATATTTATTGGAAAGTCTTTCAGCAAGTAACATTACCTGGGAGGAGGAAGACTAACCTGAGCATAGAGATGATTAGGCACCTCCATAATGGAGGTTATTTCTGAAGAATGGGAAAGCAAGATGAAACCACACAGTTGGCCTTCATCTAGTATCGTCTTACAGAAATAGTTAGTGCTTTTTTTAAAAAGTTAAGTTTTAACAGAGCAAAATTCCAGCTTCTGCAAGCGAGAAAATCAAGCTTCAAATAACCAGAGAATTCAGCAAAACATTATTTTAATTCTGATGCAATAATTTTCAGACTCCTAATTCTTCATTTATCAATTGAATTTTCAACCAACATTTTATACACATTCATGTCCCAAGAAACATATCACCACAAATATTCTTATGTTCATATTTTCTATATGTTCATCACACAAGCAATAGGACATTATACTTCACCAATTTGCATTATTCACTACCCATTTCTTTGTACTCAGCAATCCTCATGCTGCTTTATTTCTATCACTCTGAACAGCAATCCACAATAAAACTTTAATTTTACACCTGTTCACTTTGTCATTAGTTTTTGTTAAGTCAACAAAACACAACACTCTCACTTTCACACATTTCTTAATGAACAGCGAAACAGTAGAAATCTGATCCACAACCTCATAGTGAGCCAAGAGCCCTTCTGCACTTTAAAATTTTTGTTCATTATTGCCTTTCACAGTTCTTCAATAAAAACTTTGACACACAAAATACACATTCTTGCCCACATATCACAGCACGATGGTACATGCATGTTATATACTGAACATATGCAGGATTCAATTGTCAAAACACTAAGAACTTTAGGACAATAATACATGGAGGTGCAGATGCTTCCCTCTTTTGTCCAAGAGGCAGGTGAGAATTCTTATAAATATAAATAATCTTATTATTGATCAGAAAATCTGCAATTTGTTGCCCCAAAGTACAGATTGCTTGTCACCAGAGCTACTTGCTGACCAAATTTTATTAACACGAATCAACTGGTTTTACTCTAATGATAGAATGATCTTTGATCCAATATAAGATTTTGCCAGTGGAATGAGAAGTAGAAAGATTCTTCCCAATGGGATGGTTGTGTTTGTTTGTTTGTTTGTGTGTGTGTGTGTATGAGATGGGGGACGGGAGAGGGACAAGAAAATCTGTGCCTTCTCCTAGTTTGGAAGGTCTTTCAATCAATTATTCCTGACCTATTCACCCCAAGACTTTTCTATTGCAGTGTGCCGTACACAGGGCCAACATAGCAATCAGAAACTTCAACTAGAAGAGCCGAGGTGGCGCAGTGGTTAAATGCAGCACTGCAGGCTACTGCTAGATCAGTAGTTCAGCGGTTCAAATCTCACCGGCTCAGGGTTGACTCAGCCTTCCATCCTTCCGAGGTGGGTAAAATGAGGACCCAGATTGTTGGGGGCAATATGCTGACTCTCTGTAAACCGCTTAGAGAGGGCTGAAAGCCCTATGAAGCGGTATATAAGTCTACTGCTATTGCTATAAAACTAATCCACAATGTAGTGATGTAGAATTGTAGACCGAGAAGGACATGCCATGTTTACAAGACAGCTCTGATCCAGAAGTTGTATTGCTTGCCAGTTTGCTTCCGATGTGATATAAGGCTATTAACTATAAAGCGTTACCTGGCATAGAGTCAGTTTATTTGAGAAATTACCCATCCCCATAGCTTCTACCTGGCCAGCATGTGCCAACAAAATTGATACAATGAAGGTCCTTTGGATTACACAGTGCCATCTATAAGAATCCAGAAAGCATGCTTTCTCTATTGTGGTGCCTGCCTTCTGGAATAAGATCCTCCCTGAAACCCATATAGCCCAACCCTGTTGATATTCTGTACACTAATTTTCTTTATTTTATTTAAATCCCACCTTTATTGTTTTTATAAATAAGGTGATGAACCCAGTTCCACCACAAAACCGCGTTTGACTAAAGGGCGCTCGACGAAACCGCGTAGCTGACGTCATCACAGTGCGACAACAGCGCGGAGAAAAAAGCACGCTGTAAACGCTAAACCTAAAATTAACCTCTAAACCTAAACCTAATAACCCTAAACCTAATCCTAAACCTAACCCTAAACCTAACCCTTAACCTAACCCTAAACCTAACCCTAACCCTTAACCTAACCCTAAACCTAACCCTAACCCTTAACCTAACCCTAAACCTAAACCTAACCCTTACCTTAACTTGAATCGGCTTGCTTTCAAAGCGCTATTTAAAGCGCCCTTCTTTCTCCACGCTCGCTGTTGTCGCCCTGTTGATGACGTCAGCGACGCGGTTTAATCGGGCGGGCTTTAGTCAAGCGCGGTTTTGTCGTGCCACAGATGAACCCTCCTCCTATTTCAAACGTAACAATGTCAGGCGGACTAGGCTGAGAGAGTGTGATTGGCCCAAAGTCACCCAGCTGGCTTTCATGCCTAAAGTGGGACTATAACTCACAGTCTCCTAGCTCACTAGACCTGGGCTGTCAAACTCGCAGCCAGATGTGTCACACGCTGGCCACACCCACAACCGGTTTAGCAAAGGGGGGGGAGTCACAGTACATCACGTGGTGCCGCTGTGATAATGCAAGTTTGGCACCCCTACACTAGACTGAACTGACTCTTCGCGTTGAAGATTTGGTTGTTCTTCCTGGCCTTGAGTTGATATGAGTTCAGCCCTTCGTTGGATGTCTCTTTGTCTATGGCTGTCCAGAATGGCTGGATCCCATCTTGTTCTGTTTTGAGTTTTTATGCTGTATTATATTGAGAATCAGTTGCCGTTGGTCAGTGACTACATGAATTAAATAAATAAATGAATAAAATCTACAATGGGGAACCTAAATTTCC